TCACCTCACTCAACCAGAATTCACACTTGGACAATTTTGCATACAGCTTGTGCTCTCTCAACACACTCAAAACCAATTGCAAATGTCTAGCATGCTCCTCCTGAGTCCGTGAATAAACCAAGATGTCATCGATGAACACTACTACGAACTGGTCCAAGTATGGTCGGAACACACTGTTCATAAGCTCCATGAACACTGCCGGGGCATTAGTCAATCCGAAAGGCATGACTGAGAACTCATAATGCCCATAGCGTGTCCTAAAAGCAGTCTTCGGAATGTCTTCTCTCTTAACGGGAATCTGATGGTATCCAGAACGCAGATCGATCTTCGAGAATACTGTAGCCCCTCTGAGCTGGTCGAACAGGTCGTCGATGCGAGGCAACGGATAACGATTCTTCACTGTGGCTTTATTCAACTGCCTGTAGTGGATGCAAAGTCTCATGGATCCATCCTTCTTTCGAACAAATAACACCGGTGCTCCCCATGGGGAAATGCTAGGTCGGATGAATCCCTTTTCCAGTAGCTCTTGCAACTGAGCCTTCAACTCCTTCATCTCGGCAGGTGCTATACGATACGATGTAGCAGATATGGGTTCCGTACCCGGAATGAGATTGATCGAGAACTCTACCTCTCTCGGCGGAGGCAAACCACGAAGGTCTTCGGGGAAGACGTCGGGGAAGTCGCAAACTGTAGGGATGTCCTGCTGACGTGGTGATTCTTTTCGCATATCCTGAACGTGACACAGGAACATCTCGCACTTCTTGCGAATCAAGCGTCTCGCACTCATGGACGATATAAACTCGGGAGCCTTGGGGAACACCTCCCCGGAGAGTGACACGTCGCTACCGTCATCGGCTCTCAGCCATACGGTCCGACTACTGCAGTCGACCACTGCTCTATGCTCGGTGAGCCATTCCATACCAAGGATAATGTCAAACTCCTTGTGTGGTAGCTCTATCAAATCTGCAGGGAATTGCTTCCCTTGCACGGACAACGGACACCTATGATAAATGTGATGAAGACGCATGCTATGTCCTAGCGGATTCGATACAACGGTAGGTATCTCAAGGTCACTCCTCACGATCGCAGAATTAGCAGGCATGCCAATACAGATATAGGAGAGCGTGGAACCCGGATCGATCAAGGCATGCATAACCGAATCAAATAGTATGAACGTACCCAAGATAACATCGGGATTAGGATCTGTGCGCCCCTACATGGCGTAGGTACGCGCTGGTGCATGGCCTGTCTACTGCGGACGTGGTCTCTGCTGATTATTTGCGGCTGAAGACTGCTGACTCCGTGCGGGATGCGATGCGGCAGGCTGATCCGGAGCTCTAGGAAAAACAGGCTCGCTGCTAGGGTTTGTCGGGCAATGCCTCCTGAAATGCTCTGACTGACCACAACCCAAACATAAGCCTTGGGCGAGCCAACACTCGCCCGGGTGATGCCTACCACACTGTATACACTGCGGGTGGCTCTTCGTTCTGATCGCGTTGCTAGCGGCGGCCGACGGATATGGCTTCGACTTACTCCTCTTAGGCGGCGGCGCACTCGAAGATCCCTTCTCGTACCTCTTTCCCCTGAATCCAAAACTCTTCCCGCTCGGCCCGGCGCTGGCCGCGGGTCGCGGGTCTTTCGTCGCTCGATCCTCCTTCTTGGTCGCCTGCAAATCGTCCAAGCTCTTTTCCGTCTTCACAATCAAATCATACGCCGCATTAAAATCTGTCGTCGTGATCAGCGCGGCGTACGGCCTCAAGTCCGGCCGTAGCTTCTTGACGAACTCATTCAAACGATCCTCCGGAGTGGAGACCAGACTCGTCGCATACTGGGACAGGTAGTCGAACTTCTGTCTCAGTTCAGGCAGTGACATCCCCTCCTGCTTAAGCGCAACGAACTCATCGCGCCTCTCCTCGCGGTACCGGGTGGGGACGTACTCCTTCGTGAAAGCTCGATCAAAGCGATCCCAGGTCCAAGGCTTGGGCGTGTGTGGATCCTGGTCAATGCGCTTCCACCAATCATATGCTCCCTTCCGGAACATCTGTGACGCCAACTCCGAGCGATCTGCATCAGGGACTCTCAAATTCTTGAGTACCCG